GACTTGGCCGGACTGCCAAGGAACCGATCAATACCTTCTAAAACAAGATTGCTATTGATGATGTGAACTACATGTTCAGAACCACAAACATGTTGGTGTCTACAGAGAGTTATTCATTGGCTGAGTTCAACCAAGGGATCCTTGCTTAAAGGATAAACGGCTACCTCGAGTGTGAGGTGGTACAAAACGACTTACTAAGTGATCGATCGACTTAGGCACCAAGTGAAACCTTGGTCCGCTTTTAAATGCAACAAAGGAGTCGGATAGCTTTCCGACTGAATAGAATGACTGTAATGGACCGACTAAAGCTCAGATAATAACCGCCGCATGATAATAGCGTGTATGTAACTAGTATGTAGGAAATGTATATAACGGAGCCATAGTTTAGTAGGACAGCACGAAATCTCCCCCAAGAGAGCCGGCAGCTACCAGCGCCCGTGCACCAAGGGAGACTAGGGCTTGTTTTGCTAAGACTACCTCCATGGAGTAGCTTGAATATAACAAGTTGACTGGCATTGATTTGCGAAACCCTTAAACCAAACGGACTGAGTTACGGAATTGTGGTTGCCAGACAAAGTGATACTATACAACGGGCTCCAGACAAAGTTAAACGGCAAGAGAACACAGGATTTATTGTGCACGAAGTGGGACTTTGTCCGAACTGTTTATCCAAAGAGAATCGCAATCGAAGCTGAGAAGCTGTAATATCTACAAGTCAACTCAGGCGTTCAGGACATTGGTTCTGCACTTGACAAGGCGAACAAACGGTGTTTTCACGCTTAACCAGCGCAATTCATAAAAAGACTACTTAAGCCATCTCGGTACTTGGTCCTCGTCCTTGGAAGTACATTCGTGTAATCTTGGACAAGCATCTTTACTTGTCGGCGATAGACCTTGAAAGGGGTGTTTTGGTGTTAGTTTTGGTTAGTAGTTGTTAGTTGTGAGGCCTTATCCACGGATTTGGCTTAAGCAGCGAAGCATCTTGCTTGTCAGCTTTAGCATTTAGTTTAGCATTCTGGTCTGTTCCCCGAGCACCTGTTTCAGCGTCGACATCATCACCTGACCCGGAATCGAACCAGAGCCTCCTGCATAAACTCGTGGGCGTGATACTGCAAGTCAAACAGGTGCACACCATGTGCTACCAAGTGTCTACAGGCTGGTATTTGAGCTAGGGTATATGGACTTTCTGAGTGAGTCCAGGGCTAACTTAAGGGCGGAAAAGTTAAACACGGCCAACTCAGGCCAATATGAGAACATTCTGCTCTGGAAGCTTCGAAGAGTGGGTTCTCGGGTCCAAGTAGCTTTCATTTTATTAACTGGTTAGAACTTGATTTCTCGTTGTCAAGCCCCTAGAGTGCAGCAAACTGTCAGATATTCTAGGCAAGATAGTTTCAAGTCGCAAAATATTTTGTGTGGCCTCGGAACATTTTCTTGACCATAGATATTCAAGCAAGGTCTTCCTCTGGGAGCAGACCCTAACTTACTGAAAGCTTTGCGGTAAAACAGAAAAGTAAACATGTTGGGTCACAGAGTAATGTAATACTTCACGTTGTCTTCGTTCTGCTCACTGACCTCCACTAATCGACCCGCCTAAGGATTTTGACGCCTTTCCTGTGAACGAATCAGAATTCCATCTGCTTGATTGCAAAAAAAAACAGAATTGCAACCTGAAGCTTGAAGTCTTTAAGTGACTCCGCCTCGAGGCGACAAGAGCCCAAAACGGCAATACTCCATTGTTTCATTGTTCGGTAGTGGGTGGCTTGTTCCTTTCTCTTCCGCACCACCACCATCCAATATCTAATCCTCTCCCTCAAGACATTCTGAGTCGGACTATCCAAATCACAGTGCACAATGGCCAACACGTATCAGTGGAATGGCTCACAATACTCCTGCAGCGGCTCGCCATCGCCCCCCCCCAAAATGCCACCGCCGCACACCCAGAATGCTTCGGACTCAGCCCGAGCGGGGACTGCACTATCCGCCTTAATCCAGGATTCTCCCCAGCACACCAGGGGCACGCGATGTAGCTCAACTCAAAAGCGAGATTCATCACGGCAGAGGAACGTCGGGAACACGCAGAAGGGCGCCGCTGCTGTGGCCTGACAAAGAAGTATCAGCTATGCCAGACCAGCAGCGGTGGAAAGTATATGTATTGCGGCCCAAGGGGGAATCGTTATTAAAATTCCGGATATAGGGTGGGGGGGAGGGGGGGGCCAGATGTTGGATAAAAAAGCTTTTTGACGTACATTGTGAATTCACTCAAAAACCACTTTAAACCACTTGAAATAAAAATGTTGGTATTTTTGTGGCCCACGGGACCTGTCAACCCTCGAAAACCCTTTCTAGGCCGAAATATTGGCGCATTCGGTGGTCAACCCATGAGAACGATCATTATTTCTGTTCTCGGTCACCCATCATCCAGTTTGAGCTTCAATAAAACAACCCGAATATCTGCAGAACCCATCATTCAATAACTTACACATTATTCGGGCAAGGCAGACCGTCTGAAACGATAAAAAACCAGCCTACCTCGACATTTCCCAGTGGCGGGCCGAAATCTGTCTGCACAAGCGAGTGATTGCCGACATAGCCGTGGGAAAGACCTTCCTCATATAGGGGGGAGGGGGGGGGGGGTCAGAATCTTGGATAAAAAAACTTTATGACTGTATATATAAAATTTTAATGATGATTCCCCCTTGTTGCGGCCGCCACCGTGATCAGAGCATACACTTTAACGATTGACTATATTTCCCCCGTATCGATTTATCGAAACGGAGGTGAGACGGACGGGGTTTCTTGACAAGCCCTGGCCTTTTTAGGTGACCTTGGTTTGTCCTACTATTGGGTGGCACGACCCGTAGCGGAGTGTACTTTAATTTGGTTCCCCACCCTGGTGTACTTCAGGGGGAGTAGCTTTAGGTATATGCAGTGGGAGGTAATAAGATAATCATTCCGTATCATACAGCTGGCTTTTATACCATGCTCTGTCCGATACTCGCGCGTGTACTTATACCTTTAATTGGGAACGGATGTCCCTCTTCCTCGGTTCTGACTCGCCTCTGTGATCGCCCACGCGTTCCCGATTCTGAAGGGGTTAGAAATTGACTTGGAGCAGCCTCATGTGGCTCCGTTTCCCGTTTCAGTCGCCCCGTTTCCCAAGAACCCCCCTCTTCTGTTCTGCGTTGTGATGCGGACTGCGGTTCTGTGAACTGCCTGACCCGGGGTGGGTATAGTCAAGTAGTGTTTTTACAGAATTTAATTCGTCCTCTAGGGGGAAATTGCTCTTTCGCGGAGCTGCGTAGTTTTAAGGTACGCTAAGGCGCGATATATAATTTGTGGTGCGTGTGTGTACAGTTCTCTCCGTTTGGATTGAACGCTTTGCCAGGTTCCTCGAAGATTTAGTTCTTCGTTGGGGGCTGGCCTTCCGAAGGTACCGCGGATGGATAGTTTTCTACACTTGCTCGAAGGGTACGCTCCGCAATGCGAATGCTGTTCCGTTCCGGAGTACTCGGGTTATCTGTTATGCTTTATCCACCCGTCTCGAACGTATCGGACGGCAGGTCTCTTCAGTACGGTGCAACACTATACGGATGGCTATAGCGATTCCCTTCGTAGCCTAGTTTCTCCGTTGGTGAACGCCTTGAAACGGAATCACTTCCGTTTCGAAGACTCGGGGGTGAAGTGTGCGAATTGAATGGGGGAAATGGTATGATCGCGTAGGATAGGCCTTCCGTGTACGATGAGGTGGGTTCCTCGCAAGGATATGCGCTCGAACTCCGAAAAGGAACGGTTGCACGAAGCCAAGTTAGGCGACTGGCCGTTTGGTGGTGTGCCGCGTTAATCTACTTCCGCGCGCTTTCAACTCCGGATTGACTATATTTCCCCCGTATCGATTTATCGAAACGGAGGTGAGACGGACGGGGTTTCTTGACAAGCCCTGGCCTTCTAGGTGACCTTGGTTTGTCCTACTATTGGGCGGCACGACCCGTAGCGGAGTGTATTTTAATTTAGTTCCCCACCCTGGTGTACTTCAGGGGGAGTAGCTTTAGGTAAATGCAGTGGGAGGTAATAAGATGGTCATTCCGTATCTTACAGCTGGCTTTTATACTGTACTCTGTCCGATACTCGCGCGCGTATTTATCCCTTTAATTGGAAACGGACGTTCCACCTTTTCAGTTCTGACTCGCCTCTGTGATCGCCCACGCGTTCCCGATTCCGAAGGGGTTAGAAATTGACTCGGAGCAGCCTCGTGTCGCATCCGTTTCCCGTTTCAGCCACCCCGTTTCCCAAGAACCGCCTCAGTTCTCCGTTTAGTCGCCCCGTTTCCCACAGCGCAACCACTTCGTCTCCGTTTGCCCCCCCATTTCCTTCCCTAGTACCGGCCAGGTGGCGGAACGGCAACGCATGCGAGACAAATAAGAGAGCCTGTAACGTTTCCTCGCAAGGTCTCCGTTCGATTCGGGGTCTGGCCTTGATACACCATCAAGAAACTTTTGCCTCCGTTTCGTTTTTGAGTGAATGCGCGTCGAGTTTTTGAGTGAACGCATTGAACGGCCAGATAGCTCTACAATATTTTCCTGCTTGCTTGTGGGTTTCCTATTGATTCGGAGTCTGATGTTCGGCCAGGTGGCGGAATGGTAACGTGCGCGAGACGAATACGTTATGGGGTCTGGCCTTGCTGACGCAGAGGATCCTTTTTGCTTGTGGTCTCGGTGAGTACTCGCGGTCAGATAGTGTAACGGTAACACGCTTGGACTCGATACATTGGGATGGAGCGATTCTCCAAGAGAACCCTGTTCGATTCGGGGTCTGGCCCTGGTGGTGGTGTATCCGATGCTTTTTATTGATACGGAGTCGCTGTCGTGAGTATGATTTTCCTCCCGTTTGGCCGCGTTCAGAGCGCATCACAAAGTGACAGCTCACAGCGTTTAATCACTCCGTTTCCCATACCGCAACCACTCCGTCTCCGTTTGCTCCCTCATTCCCTTCTCCTTAGCACCGGCCAGGTGGCGCAACGGTAGCGCGTGTGCCCTTTGTATACGTTGACCAATGTATGCTTGCGAGGTCTTCGTTTGATTCGAAGTCTGGCCATGATACACCATCGAGAAACTTTTGCCTCCATATGGTTTTGAGTGAGCGTGCATCGAGTTTTTGAGTGAACGCGCGTTGAACAGCCAGGTAGCGCATGCGAGAATCAATATTTCCTCCTCGACGCTTGTTTGTAGGTCTCTGTTCGATTCACAGTTTGTCGTCTATTTAATTTAAATCAGGTCCGTCTCAATCTTTTTGTCCGTTTGTCGAGGCTCCCGAGTCCTAATCATGGCCGGGTGGCGGAATGGCAACGCATGCGAGACGAATACAGACACCACAGTGTTTACTCACAAGGTCTCCGTTCGATTCGGAGTCTGGCCATCCCTTTTTAATTAAGGTCTGTCTCGTTCTTTTTGTCCGTTTGTCGAAGCTCTTCGTGAATAGGGAATCACGGCCAGGTGGCGGAATGGCAACGCATGCGAGACAAATAGAGAGCCTGTAATGTTTCCTTGCAAGGTCTCCGTTCGATTCGGGGTCTGGTCTTTTTATTCGGAGGTGCGATCACTTGTCATATTCTTGGATACGGAGTCGCCATCGTGAAAGTATGATTTTCCTCCCGTTTGGCCGCGTTCGCAGCGCATCACAAAGTGACAGCTCACAGCGGATTGAGCACGGAGAACGAATTCGAACTGTGGGACAGTGTTCAATGATGTCAGGCAGGATCTGACACAAATGTGGAAGATCTTGATCCGACGTACCTAATGGGGTACTAAGATCGACGAAGCTTGGCACCGGTGGAGCAACCGTTCTGAAAAAGAGACTCAAGTGTCAGGAAAAGAGACGAATTGACCGGGGACGGTCAAGATTTAAAAATGGGGGAGATAATAAGCCAGCAATTGGGCCACGCATGGAATTTGCCAATTTTGCTCATTCTGTGCCACTAGCTGTATTATAATCGGCTATATAAATCACTCAACAGAGGGCTAGTGTCCGTCTGGGCAGCTAGCTATGAGACAGCAGTGTATATACTATAAGCTTTGAGGTGTGAACTCACTGGAAGGTCAATACTGGCCGGAAAGTCAAAATCATACTTAAAGCTTTAAGTCAAACCTTCTCTTTTAACAAACCCTCAGGGTTCGTAGGAGTTGGGCGTTCACTCTAATCAAGGACAGGAGGAAATACTATCCATCTGTGACCAGGGTTGAGGAATGGGAGCTTTGCAGGGGCAACCTATGTTGACTAGAACATTTGTCTGCGGTAGAATTGGCATTTCCTGTCAATCAAGCCGAAGAAGATCCAAGGACCGGAAAGTTCCGATGGCATAGCCAGGAACGGCACCTCAAAGGGAGCAGTAGCGGCAGCAAGGTCTTGCCGCCGGCTAAACCAAAATCGTGATGCCAAGAAGCTATTAATATTCTTGACTCGAACAGACTCATATGGCTATTCACGAATGACTTGAATGACTCGAGGCTGATTCACCAGGAGTCACACACACCGAATTGGGACGACATGATGAGGCTGGGATATTATTTGGACACGCCAGAAGTGGACATATATTATTTATTTTGGTTGTACAGTCGAGTTCCTCATATGGAATCACCCCCTATGGAATATCCGTGCTATGGAATTGCTTTGAGCCCTATCCCACCACGGGATAGGGGAATATTCCACATTTCGTCATCTGGAATATGGAATGGGCTGAGGGCGGCATTATTCCATTCTGCGGACGGCCGAAAAAGGGAATTTTGAGAGGCAACAGGTCATTTTTAGCACAGTGGCAGACCATAAGTTAGTTTCCCATTGCCCCTGAAGGAAATACACTGCCTTACTCTACTCATTGTGATTCCTGAGGGACAAAAGAGCTGTGTTCTCTATTTTAGGGACCAGAATTCTCACAATCAAACAAAAGAATATGCAAAATCTGGGCCGGCCGCAACGCGAATCTGAGAGCTCACCCATCTGCTCAAAGGCCTACACCCAGCCATGCTAGGTGAGGTCCTCGCATGATGTATCCTTCTCCATTTGGGCAGTTGTGCGAGGCCATCAGGACACAGACTGTTCTTCATGCAGTCTGCCCTCTTGAAGAAACTGAAAACGAAACATGGGAGTTATTCACAGGTCTCAGACCTCAAAGTAACCTCAAAGTGCTCTCTCTAATGGCCTCATACTTCAAATACGTGCCTATAGAAACATTTTTCTAATTCATTTTCTCGAAATTCATTTCTGTGCTGTGGAATATCCACGGTATGGAATAGCCTTGGGACCTGTCCCGATGGTATTCCATATGAGCAATTCAACTGTACCAATATCCATGCAGATTATTCGCCTTTTCAAGTCAAGATTCATATGTAAATTAGTAGATTGTATTCAGTAGGAGTCCGTATCTTCACGGGCTCAACGTTTGGACCATTATGTACATTACTGTTTCGAGTTTCCATGTTTTGTAGTATTTGGTATGTAGGATTTAGTATATAAGTAGAGGTAGAGCTTAGGTGGAAGCCAGTGGACCGTACCCTTCTTGTTAGGAGCACAGCATAACACGTGCGTCCGTCCGGGAAGTCTCACGGAATCCATTCGGTGTACATTTGAGTGTCTTTAGATACTTTAGTGTCTACCAATATATTGGGATTGGATTATATTTGTTGTGCAGCGTCAGCGTCAGTGTTTAGGGTCAGTGTCAGCGTCAGCGTTTAGGGTCAGTGTCAGTGTTAGCATCAGCATTTTAGGGTCAGCGTCAGCGAATATTACAGCGGAACTTGTCAACCTTCGGTTACAGTTCAAACCCAGCGTCGAACTAAGTCTAGTTCACTACACAACCACCCGGTGTTCATCACCACAAACCTTTTTGAAAACCACAACTCTTCTAGGAACTATAAAGGTCGCATCAGCACCCAATAGGTCCGAGAAACCAAACGGTCAACTTGAAGCTTTAAGTCGAAACTTAGTTTTCAGCTACTGCAACAGCCGTAATACTTCGGTTGGAACCTCACGAACGCATATACAAGCGGAGAAGTGATTGGGTGTTTGATTTGGAGTGTGTTTAGTGTGTGGTTTAGCCATACATCGAGGCCCAGTATCCAGCTCATTTCCCCGGTCGGTCCCGATCCGTGGCATATCACCGGGGCTTCCTTGGGCTTCGCCCGCCCGGTCTGCAATGAGCAAGCCCGGGTTCTCCCGCCCCGCAGCCCGCGGCCAGAGGCCGCGCCAGACACAAACCAATAGGTTTGTGTCCTCCTTCTTTCCTTCTTCCTTTTTCCCCTCTCCCTTTCCCTCTCCTTCCTCATTCCCTATCAATCACTTCGAGACGCGTAGTGTCTGCTCTTTTATTCAAAGGATACAATGCTTTATTGCAAGTCTCGCCTACGTCCCGAGCTAAGCTCATGACGCCCGCGAAGACACTCTATTAGGGTGAAAACTGCGAAAATTGGCACTTTGCACAGATAATAAATACACACCTTCCCGGTAGCGAGAATTTCACCACCATCAGAGTCTCAGATTTAAAATTCACACCCTCATTCATGAGACTTTTACACCACCTCCTGTTCAGTTCTGCAATGGGCTGGACTGCGGGCACAAAATTTGTTGCTGTTGAGGAATAGTGGTTCATAGTGGGCCACAATATTCCTCAACCCATGAGTGGTCTAAGCAGGCTGATAGGGATCTCGGCTCAAAAATGTAGTAAACATGTGGTTTGTTATATTGCGGTGCCCACCTTTAGGAAATGTACTAATTTTAAATTTACATATACACCTCATCAGTAAAACAGCAACATTGTCTTTGGCGTCTTTGGCGTCTTGGCCAAGACGCGTAAGACGTGTAAGACAAAATTTCCCGAAAGACACACGTCTTTGAGTAACTAGGTTCCTTTTTCTTAGCAAGACAAATGTCTTGGGAAAGACATCAAAGACGTCGTGCATCCTTGCCAAAGCTCGGTCTCAAGACACTCAAAGACACTCCAGATAGCACTTAAGATGCAATAGAGGGGTGTAAACAATTGATTGCGGCAGACAGATAGTACAGGTTGTAAATACAACTACAGAGACTAAACACCCATCGCTGGTGTGAGATTATAACTCCTGGTGATCTTTGCTCTTACCTTCAAAACTGGTTTCGCGTGCAGGCGGCAGCGTCAGACCCAGAGAATGGCGAGTACAGAGAAGGTGGACAGGCACTGGTGGCAAGCGGGGCACTTGATGGTAGCCGGAACTTGAGAAGCAGCTTTGAGAATGTACCACGATCTTGAGCACATTGCTAACACTTTGCAACGACATGTCCCGTCGCGGACTCTTGGGGACTTGAGATATGGAATGAACACAAACTTGAATTGATGACATTGAGGGACTTGACGTCTTGGCTCTTGACGGACTTGGAGTAAATTGTATAGAGTACGCGAGGGACCCTCGTCGAGGGTTGAAGCTCGAACCTCAAAAGGGGTTTGAAGGGGTTAGCAGGCATTTGAAGGGCGAGGCCCTGGCCAAGGCAGAGGGAAAGGCTGGGTGGTGGTAGGGGAAGGAAATGGACGAAATGATCCCATCTTTTCTATGCAGATATATATTGGTGCGCACGGGCCTCCTCGGGCAATCATGGCCGATGCCATAACTGATCAATATCAATGATCAACTCCGACTTTGAGTCAAATTCATCCTCCTCTCGCCCCCTCAGCGATTTCGACATCGAAACCTCCGTACAGGCAAGAAAAAAAAACACCTCCAACCCAACTTCAAGTCCAATGCCTGCCCAAGGAAGTGTCCGACTTAGGCCCGAGCGGAACAATTGATTGCAACTTAAATTGCAATGATACATACTTACATTCAGACACTCAGAGGTGAATCATTTTGAATGCATCAGTGTGACAAGTGGAGCAGTTTTTTCAGGATTGACCCTCGACACTGGAAAGACTGGCACCAAAGAGCAAGACTCTCCAAGACATGGTTTCAAAGATGTAAGACGCGACTCAAAGACAAAGATTGCCAAAGACGGGTTCCAAAGACAAAAGACCCCAAAGACAAATGTGTTGTTTTACTGATGCTGGGAAGTGCCTCCGTCAACCGTGAGACCTT